CAATTCTTTTAATGTTTTATCGACATAATTCGGATTTCAAGACATATTAAATTTAAAGGTTTTAAATATAATATAACTAAATCTAATATTTTAAATATTTTAAAATATTATTAACTTTTAAATTGACATATGAATTTATTTTCTATATTTAGGATGTTGTTTTGTTTCCTGGTGATAACATCACACCCGCTTCAAATCTTGATAAAAGTATCTTGATAAAAGTACTGCAGCAAGTCCACTAACTAAGTGGACATCCTTTAAAAAGTGTCTAGACATGATGAATTAAAACACAACCTGGAAGATGCTTATGATGTTGATAATGTGGCAACAATGTCCTCAACCAAATGATCATCAACATTAATGACAGATCATACTTCTGGAGAAGGCAAACAAAAACTATTTATTTCAAAGAAAGAAAAATAATATATGATTTTCATGATTTTTGATTACTCATATAGGGTTGTAATAAAATAAAATTTTGATAAATTGAAAAATTTGTTCAACGAAACCTTAAAAATTTGAAATTTGTTGGAAATTTTCGTTATATGTCAAGTTAGGGCTTCTTTTTGTGTTGTCATGTGTTGTGATTTGGCTATGCAGGGTTCATTTGAGTTCAATTTCTCTACCCGAATGTTAATGTTCACATCCAAGTGGAAACAATCACATCTGATAAACATTCTAAATGATTTTTCACTTACATTAATAAAAATTGTTACTTTAAGTGGTGCGTTCTCATGGATACCACACTGGTTGTGACTATAGAGCCGTCCTAGCGAATGAAGAATCCTAATGGCTATATGACGAATTTTGCTGCGTTTTAATGAAGGATCACTCTGTCACGTTCGTTCTTTATAGTTTTTCTCTTATTTTCGATATAGATCATGTCACAACAATAAGGCAGAAAGAGGTGTTAGTGACCATTAAATATGAAAGGTAATATATATTTAAGATATTATATGAAGTGTAAATTGTAGATTTGTGATATTGTTTCTATGAAAAATATGTTGTTTGATTGCTAGGTAACATATCAGGTTTTTTTTTTAATTTGATTTTGACAAGTTTAATCTAATTTGATAATTGAAGCAGGTAGGAAAGATATATGTTAACGATGTTGAATTTGTATTGCCCTTTAGAAACCAACCGTAGCTTCACAGACTGTTCCCTCATATAGTAGTAGGTCGTAGCATTTCCCTAAATTCAGCTACAATAAGTCATGGATGCACTTCTTGAATCAATCCTCTAAACTGAATTTCATTTGTTAGTTGGATGTGGTGACTAAAATGCAAGATTTGTGAAAGTTTATTATTATTTATTAGTGTTAACCTTTGACAAATTATGAAACTAATATTATATTTTTGTCCATAACATGTTTTTTTTGTAATAATTTATTTGATCAGAAGATATGTATATGTGATTGGGTGTAACCTGAAAAATCATATTTTAATTCTTATAAGGAAAAAATACTTTAGAAATTGACCAAATTACAATGTCTGAATTTGATGTTTATGGGTATGGCAATACACTTTATTTGTAATGTTTATCTAATTTCTTTGTGGAATTTAACGTTGTTGGTACATATAACAACTTATTGTTACTTTTAGTTTTATAGAGCTAATATGAAAAGAGCCATATGACCCTCCATGAGAGTTGGAACACCGAACAAAGTCAATTCATAAAGTTACTACACAACCTGTTTTAATCAAGAAGTTGCATTTTTGTTGTGATAAAACAAAGATCACGTAGATCATTTTTGTTAAAAATTACTGTATTAAAAATCCAAATTGCTCTAATATAAATATTAAATATTTTTATTTAAAAAGTTTGGTTCAAAAACTCTAAAAATGAATCTAACAAACATTTTTTTTATTAAAATTCCACCTAAGACAAAGCCACAAATTAATGTGATATGTATTTAATTTATGTTCCACGCGTTTAACGCGGGTCATAATCTTGTTTATGTGTATATATCACTAGTTGATATTGTTTATTGAACTTATGATTTTCTTTTTCAAAAAAATGATAAGTTTATCAAATTATTCAGTGTTAAGATGAAGTTGAAAAAAATAATTAAATTAATTTATCCGACATTAATAAAATTATAAATTGTTTTTTGATATTAGCAAATCCATTACCTAAGGGAAGTGATTCCTACACAACATTGTTTTTTCATACAACACTTTGTGCTGTATAGAGTTCTATCATACAACATTTTAAAGAACAAATTGTTATGTATGGTAAAAAAATTGTGTACGAATCAGCTCTCATTACCTAAATTACAAAACCCCGAGTTTTTTACATTTTTCATTCTATACATATAATTGTTGATTCAATCTACAAACTTTAATCATACTAAGAAGCGTAGGCTCGTAGCCACCCTAAATGTCAAGAACCGAAACCAACCAGAACCAATGATTTTTGGAATGTTTTAACATTGTGTGTCCGATTTACAAAGCTTTCTAAAATTTAGTCATGATAAACAGTAATATAACAAAAATAAAATTGACAATTATTATATATTATAAAATTTATATTGGTGTAATTTTTTCATGAAAACAAAATAACATTCAAATTGAGCATTATGTGTTCATGCAAAATGTAAAAGTAAATTGGCGAACTTTCGTATCAGAAGTAATAAAGTGCTCAAACTGAACTTCAAGGTCTAGAGCTCGAGTTACAGATCGTCAATCATGGCAATAAGTTTTAGGGCTATTGTCGAAAATCATTTTTGGTGCAAGGCTTGTATGGAGCTTTTGATCTCAACAACCTAGGTATGATTTCTTCCTTATTGCTTGGAAAAGTCCTATAAGACCTAGGGTTTATGTGCTATAGACCTGGAAGGTCTTAATCGAATTCGAGACTTAATGGGTTTAGTGAATTGAACCCTAACCCTAGTTTTATCTTTCTGAAAAATCCAATGTCTTGTCCCGTTTTTGTAAAAATTATATAAAAATCATCGAAAGTCGGATTTAGGGTCTGTAAATTCTCAAAGTTCATATTTTGAGTCTAGTATGTTCATGATATTTTCCTTGACCTGATGTTGGCTACAACTTGGGTGAAAATCGTCATTTTCACATACTAGTCCGGAATTGAGCTGCACTATATGCAGTTTTGTAAAATTCACTATAAATTGTAGATAAATCGTATGAACGCGTGTAAGTAGTCCCTAAAAAGGTACTGACCTAAACTTCATGATCATGGTTTCGTAACCTAGTTTGGTTGGGTTTAATAGGGGAAAAACAGGCCTTGAACAGGCTCTTGTTTTGGGTATAAATCTGATAATTTAAACTACAAGACTAATTACATATTTAGGGTAAAATGGTAGTCATTCCTAACCTTGATTGGTATTATTAGGAGGTTTGAAGGGTGACCTGGTGTGAGTGAGTCTCGGGCTACGTTTGGAGTTTGATCTTGCTACTTGAGGTGAGTTTCTCATTACACCGTGTTATATTATATTTTCTTTATGTTAGTTCGTATGTGATATGTGTTGTTAATGTGGGTAGCAGTAGGTGGTGTTAGAGTCTAGTGGTAGTATGATTTTCCATGATGTATTGAGGGTTATGCATGGTAGGACGTGGCGTATCCGAGTGGATGATCAGGACTAGCCAATGCGTCCTAAAGGCTCGACGAACTGAGCAAGGGGGATCGGGCATGGCCACTGTGCCCCAATGCGTTCGGGTACGGGGGTCGGGGTTAGCCATTGTGTCCCAAAGGCTAGATGTATCGAGCAAGGGGGATCAATCCTAGCCAATGTGTCCCAATAGGAGTATGTTTGTTTCTGATTCGTTCTTTAACATGTATACGTGGTTATGTATTGATACCGTTTGTATCTGTGTATATGGGTAAAGTTTGTATGATATGATACCATGTATGTGTGAAATTCACTAAGCTTTGTGCTTACTCATTTCCCCTTTAAAAATATTGTTTCTGAAACATAGGATGGTAGGGTATGATCGTACACACTGGCTCGAGACAGGTTATTGGAAATTCGTTATTGAATTGGTTATGTTTTCATAAATTTTAGAATTTAACTAATAATGGTTTTTGGAAATTGAATTAATCTTGGGGCTTGGTTTTAAGTTTATGTTGAATAAAAGATATTAAACGGATGAGTTATGTTGTTTTAAAAAGTTCAAATTTATTTAAAATTTTGGGATAATATCCATGTTCAAACATTAAACAGTGTAGTATCACCAACAGATTGTTTAATTAAAAGCAAATTAAAACCTAATATTCCATTACTTTGTCGGTTACGGAAAATGAAAATGAATTTTAATTTTACATAAATGTAAAACTTTCTTGGTTAACTAGTGGTGCATAATACACATAAGTTCTCATTCATCGAGTTTATCATAATAGGTGCAACACGTATTCCCGACAAAACATTACCAAAGATTTATTATTAAGAAAACTTATTGCACAATTAAGTTCAACAAAATTAATAAAAACTCAACTAATAATATCTAAAAATAAGGAAAAACTGAACATGTATTTTTTTTTAAATGTTGCTAATTTTGTATTCTCAAGAGAATCATTGAACTTATCATGTTCAAACTCACTAAAGTGTTGGATATGATTGGGTTTAAACACATGTGTGAATGTTATAAATAAGAAGAATACCTTAGATTATATACATTTGTTATATAAAATCCGACATACATTCATATAAATGGTGTTTCTACACATGCATCTTTTACGATGGTTGCACACTTTTTTTTGTATTACTTGCACACACTTTGTTTATCATTGGGGTAAAATAAAATATAAATTGGTGTTTGTTTGCAAGATTTAATTTTTATGCACGATTTGTTTGTTTGTACATATGTTCAAACTTCAAAGTACCTTATCGATAATGAAGTGCAATTCTAATGCATGCAAGAAATATAACGGTGTGAAGTGGGATAATTCTTTCCCTGGGTACCTTATTGTGGTTTGTTATTAAGTATAGGGGTCTGAATGTAAGATGTTTTATATACAAACAAGTCTCCTTTTATTTTGCTCTCATACACTTTCTCTTTCTAAAAATCTCCCCTTTCTCTCTCTATAAACATCTCTCTCTGTAATTTCTATTTCGAGAAGGTTTCTTAGGGTTAAATACGATGACAACTGTGATAAAAGGGCATACAAAAGCATAACAATCATCGTCTTCATCCGTGAGCAAATTGCTTTCTTCTTCTTTACCATATTTAGTCTTCTAATTATTGTTGTATTATTCAACTATATAGCAGAAAGAGGATCTGGATTTGGGAAATTGATCATCTGCGTATGATCCGTTGTTAAGATATACATACTACTTGAGATTTAATCAGATTTTTCTGTATAGATTATTGTTCTTTGTACACAACTTGATTTCCCCCCTAACTTTTAGGGTCAATTATCCGAATTTGTTGGAGATTTTTGTCCATAGTTGTAACGATTGAGGTTTATTTATTCATATCGGATCTTCAGATTGATATTATCAAAGGTCGTGTGTCAACTGTGGAAACTTTCGGATTTTGTAGTGGAATTAGAAGAGAAATTTGAAGTGAATTCTGGTTTGTGATTGTTTTTTAGTAAATCTAATTCGATATTATCCAGGGAACAGCACGGTTTTTGTTGCGATCCCAATATCGAAATAGTAGCACTTTTTCCGAGGGTATAGAAATTTGCTTTGGTAGTTGGTTTAATTTGGGGGTTTTATGCACAATCAAGAACAAACATGGCTGCGGGTACAGAATTTTCTCCGGCTTATGCAATGCTAGAAGGTGGTTTCAACAATATCGTGTCTAAAGACGAGATTTCACAGAATTCAGATCGATTGAAACACATGGCGATTCGTAAACCTCCAAGGCATCTTTCCGTCGTTCGACATAGTATGAGCACAGCAACTCTGCTAGCGCCCACAAATCCGGTATGATAAAATCAATTGCTTCCTATCTGTATTCTGTAATTACAAGTGTTAGATCCAAATAGATGAGTTGAAGGTCTAAATTATGTTAGCTAATTTGATTGAATTATGTGATTTTTTCTAGGATTTTGGCATCGGGATTGTTGCTGTTGCTGTGAAGTCTACAACAGATGGGAATTCTGAATTCTTGCCTGTGATCCGATCAGGAAGCTGTGCAGAAAAAGGACCAAAACAATACATGGAAGACGAACATATATGTATAGACAACCTTCTTGATTACTTAGATCAACCAGAAGGTTTCCCTTCCCCTGGAGCTTTCTATGGCGTATGTCTCCACTCTTCATCTTCCCCTTCTTCCATTCCACAAAATTCTTCAAACACTTTTCATGAACTAAAAATTATTAATCTATTCCAACAGGTTTTCGATGGACATGGTGGCACAGATGCTGCATCATACGTTAGAAAGAACATATTAAAGTTCATCATCGACGACCCCCAATTCCCTATTTGCTTAGAAACAGCAATCCGGAATGCTTTTGTGAAAGCCGATCATGCATTCGCCGACACATCTTCTCTCGACATCTCATCGGGAACCACCGCGTTGACTGCTCTCATATTCGGAAGGTAAGTCAAGCTCTTTGACCGAAATCATGTTCTATTTTCTACCTTTTCTTCTTCTTTTTCCCATTTGACCTAAAACGCTAAAATCGAAACACAGAACGGTGGTTGTTGCAAACGCCGGCGATTGTAGGGCGGTGTTAGGGAAACGAGGACGAGCGATTGAACTCTCAAAAGACCATAAACCGAATTGCCCATCGGAGAGGTTACGAATCGAAGAACTCGGTGGCGCCATCTACGACGGATACCTAAACGGCCAGTTATCAGTGGCTCGAGCGTTAGGAGATTGGCATATGAAAGGTCCGAAAGGTTCTGCTTGTCCGTTAAGTGCAGAGCCGGAGTTGCAGCAGATCGTGTTGAGTGAAGACGATGAGTTTCTTATAATCGGTTGTGATGGTTTGTGGGATGTGATGACGAGTCAATGTGCAGTGTCGATTACGAGGAAGCAATTGATGATTCATAACGATCCAGAGAGATGTTCGAAGGAGCTTGTTCGTGAAGCTTTGAAGAGGAATACGTGTGATAATTTGACGGTGGTGGTGGTTTGTTTTTCGCCGGAGCCACCGCCGAGGATTGAGATACCTCAAACGCGAGTCAGGAGGAGTATATCGGCGGAGGGGTTGAATTTTCTCAAGGGTGTATTGGATGGTAACTCATGAAACAGGCGGTGGTAGGCGGAGGTTCCATGATTGATTATGTTCGGAAATAAGAAATTATTATTGTATTTTTTCTTTTTTTGGTATTAGTTTTTTTTTTTTTTTTTTTTTTTTTTTTTTTTTTTTTTTTTTTTTTAATGTATGTACATTGTTGTTGTATGGATTGGTAGGACTTGACCGTTAACCCATTGTTAATATTCCATGGTTTGCTCTAAATTTATATTTTTTACTAGGCCATATCTGCGTGTTGCACGTAATAAAATTATATACTTAACCGTTTAGTAATCATATGTCATTGAAAATATTTATGTCACTTATATTAACCAAAAAGTAATTATTATTACATTTAAACATATAGTTAATGTAACATTATAATTAATTTAAACAATAGATAATATAACACTTACTAAAATCGAATCATTTAATGGTATATACTCACGCTTTACGTGTACATAAAATTAGTTATATTTATTATATATTTTAATTAACTAATGTAATGATTTATTAACATTAAAGAAAAATTAATTTTATTTTAATTTCATCATGATGATTATATAAATTATCAATAATTGTTTGTGTTGTAACATAATTTAATTTATAACTTTATGTTATTTTAACTATTATTATTATAAATTAATTTTAAAATAACTTAACTGAATTTCAGTTATTATAAAAAATAGTTTTTTGAGATCTTTTAGCTAATTTTACTTTTAGATTTATGTTATTTTATATTTATTGTATTTAATATTTTCCTTTTAACTCTTGTAAAAATATACATTGAGTTTTTTTAAAACTTTATTTGATATTTTACTTTAGGTTTTAAATTTTACACTATATTTTTAAGTTTGTTTGATATATTAATTTAGATTATGCATTTAACACTATATTGAAGTTATTGATAATTCAAGAAGTCTTCCCTTTATGATAATATTTATAATTAATAAAATATTTAAGTTAGAAAGTATATTATAAGGAAATATAAAAAGTTGTGAATTTCAAATTGATGTGGTGAAAGGAAAAATGTTTCATTTATAACTATACTATGATTCGAAATATTTGGGGGTTTTATGGTTTATTTATTGGATGTATCTAATGTTATCCTCTCAAATCGACCTCCAAAGTAACTCTGAAAAATCAAACAATAGTGTCTCAAATATGCTATAAGTATGGTCATGGCGCTAGTATGTGTTTTCTTCTTTGTGGCTTTCCACAAAATCATAGAGGAAGAAGGGGTAGAAGAAATAGTTATTGTGGAGGAAGGGGAAGAGGAAGGTGAAGATGAAATAAAGAAAATTTTAACAACTTTAATGGTGCATATGCATATAGAGGTAGTTCTAATGGGATTTTTTTCTAGAAATGTTACTAGCTTTAATAGAGGATATATGATTGGTTTTCTTGCTAGAAACAATGGATATTATCCCGAACCAATGAATTACAATATCGTCGGGAAGAATCTAACCCTAATGTCCACGCTCCTTTTTCAGTGGCCCACAACATGAGTAATATGATTGGATCTTTAGCAAATGGGCCGGATCAGACTATTGGACCTTATCATTTCTCACATTGAACTTCGTCTCAACAATATTGGCATGATAATGTTCAGAAAATTGATGGTAAAAAATGTTTAATGGCTTATCTCTATCTGTTACTTGTCAAGTTGTCGAATATTAGATACCAGACTCAGGTGTTATTGCTTGCATGACTCTTAATCCAAAGCTTATTGACCAAGCTGTACCATTTATTGTTGTTAACGATACTTCTCTTACTATATCTCATGTTCATTTAATTTTGAAACTAGGTAAGCGCACCTTCAAATATCTCAAGTGTTTCTAGTTTCCAAAAGTGACCAAAAGTCTTTTATCCACTGCCGATTTAGAAGAAATAATCCTTATCTTGTGTAATTCTCATATCTTGGTTTCTTTTATCAAGAATGGGACATGTCAAATACTCCACCATTCTGCATAGCAGCAACAATATTTAGGTGTTTTTTTTTGTCTGTAAATCTTACTCTTTTATCAAGAATGGGACATGTCAAATACTCCCACCACATTTGCATAGCAGCAACAATATCTAGGTGTTTTTTTTTGTCTGTAAATCTTACTCTTTTATCAAGAATGGGACATGCCAAATACTCCACCACATTCTGCATAGCAGCAACAATATGTAGGTGTTTTTTTTTGTCTGTAAATCTTACTGACCTCTTCTGAGTCTTCTGTCTGCACCGCCCAGCGGCGGAGACCACGCACAGACATTAACCTTTGCATACTGTTTTTTTGAAGACTGCAGACCTAAAAAGGTCGGTGCATCCTCTTCTTGACGCCGATATGGACCAACGTCTTCTAACATCTTCAAACATCTTCTAGCATAAAAAAACACATATATCTTTGTTTTTTTTATTTTTTTTTAAACTTAGATTTATTCTAACTTTATCTATGATAAACAATTTGAAAAAAAAAATTACAAATTTCAAGATAAAAGGTTCATAACACTAGCATGACATTTGTGACAAATTTATAAAAAAAGATTTAATTACAATACTAATCGTTAAAACTATTTATATAGAAATGAAAAAAAAAACACATATTGTATTATATTTTTTATGCCAAATTTTTTTAAAACTGGATGTAATGGAGTATCATCCATTTCTTGGGAAAAACATTTTAGGTCAATTTTTAATTGTTTTAATTGATAAAGTAAAATGAAAATTTCGAAAGTTTTCATTTTAAAATCGAAGTTTATTTTCATCTATTTTATGTGTTATGTTCTTTGATCCCTAATTACAATGTTTAGTTATAACTTTGGAACCAAATCTTGTTGGTTTTTATCAAATATATACGTTGATTTGTACCATTTTATTTTTATTTTTTATATAATAGTACATAAAAGGTGATTAGATTTTTTAATTATCTATAATAAAGTCATAAAAGTATTGAAAATTTTTTTTAAAAAAAAATATCAGTTTATTTAGATTTTAGTTTATTTAGCAGTTTGTAGATGTTAAAAAACAATATTCTTCTTTCAGATTGTAGATGTTTGGTCCACCTTTTCTACTGCAGAGGTCTGCAAATGTGGTCCGCAGACTGCAGACATTTTACCTCAGAAAAACAAACAACACCTTACTCTTTTGTTGCTGACAACATATTTGATTACTAATGAGAAAATTTTGACATTTCAGGCTTGAGCATCTAACTTCTTATTTATTTTTTAGATAATTTCCTTTTTGAATAATAGTAGCATCATACAATCATGTAATGCTTGTAAATTTTCAAAGCAAACTAGATTACCGTTCTCCCAAAATTGTTCATATGACAATAATGTTGGAGATAATTCATCTAGACATTTAGGGATCGGATCCAACTATTTTTTTGATCTGGTTTTGACTATTTTATCTCGTTTATTGGTTATTAAAGTATATGTACGTGGATTTATTTATCATCTCATCATTTCAATGCCTTGCTTCTTTATGACACTTCAAAATCATGTAGAAAATATTTTTTTGAAAATCATCTTTTCCACACTTCAAAATCATGGTGAAAATCTTTCTCTACAAATAGGATATATTTTTTTCCTGAATGGAGCATCACATATAAGATATCATGTCCTCACACTGCTCAACAGAATGTCATTGCGGAACATAAAAACTGACATTTATTTGAGATTGCTCGAACACTTGTATTTCATTCCAACTTATCGAAGATATATTGGTTTGATGCTTATTCCAATATTTATTTTCTTATAAATCACATTCCTTCGAAAATTTGTAATCATGTGTCACCATATGAGATTTTATTTCATTATGAACCTAATTATTTGTTGTAACATCCCAAAAATCACGATAAAATTTTTATTTTTCAATTAAAGTAAAATCATTATTTCAATCAAAACCAAAGTCATAAAAACCAAGTCTCAGATACAATTATCCCAAAATCAGAGTATCATAAAATCTCCGAAACATATCACTGAAGGATGTGTACGATCACGCCTTTGCCTTTCCCCTGTCCTTCGAAGCACCTGAAACCATAAAATCATCTGTAAGCCAAAGATTAGTGAGTTCCCCCAAAGTACCAGACACGAAACATAAACAACATGTATACTAGGCCCACAACCTATGTCTGGAATACCTCTACAAGGCTCTCAGCATAAGTCTGGATTGTCGCCGAGCCCACAACATGAGTCTGGAATGCCCTTCCCGGCCCCCATCCCATGTCTGGAATGCTCCCAAGCCCTTAGCATGAGTCTAGAATACCCTTACAGGGTCCTCAACCCATGTGTAGAATGTTCCCGGTATCTTGGCCTACAGCACTTAGCGAAACCGTCTCAACCTAAACCGTTACAATGTGTCGACATATGCACATAAACGAATATCTCGCAAATAACAGATAATCATGCAGATCTAACAGATCATTACAACATAACAACATCCTAACCAGGATACATAACCTAGTGGGTCGACATTGGTGCCTTCGACCCACGAGTACAGTGAGGAAAACTCACCTCACAGTCTGAAAAAAGTTGAATTGATCACGAATCCAAATGTTGTCTCTATCGGTCACCTATACAATAAAAGGGACCTAATCTCAACTACTATTCAAACTACCCAAAATTCCCCTAATTCAAACTTGGTCAAATTCAACGGCCAAATGTCAACCTCCAGCTGGTCTCCACGTCATATCCATCCTTGGCCACGACGTGGCCACTAGATGAAAAAACAGACGAGTCTTAGCCCAGTCACTATGCCGTGGCGACCTAGGCCACGTCGTGGGCACTGGGTTCCTAACATCTTGTCATCTTAATGGGTTAAGCTGTCTTCTTCGATTCTAAGGGCTCCTAAGCTCAGATCTGGTCCATACTATGGTCTAAGTGGATAAAGTTTCCAATTTTATCCCTTTAGACTCTCCAACAGGTAAGCGTCTCACTCTAGGTACAAAAGGGAAAACACAACTTGGCTTAATTTATTAAGCACTTAATCTTGAAGACTTCTTGTTCAACATTTCCAGAAATGTTTCTACCATCATAAGACAACATAAAAACCCTTACTTTCCAGACATGC